TCAACAAAACTCTTGTGCTCTGGTGAAAAAAAAAAAAAACAAAGTGACTTCTGTGTTAAAAATTTCACTGTTTATCACTTGAAACATACAGCATTTTTATATGTTTTGGTGTTTTCTTAGGAATAATAGCACATAAATGGGTATCCACTCAAGATATTAATTGCATCAGCTAAATACCTGATTCTGAAAGCACCAATAATTGTGTCTGCCTGAAGTCCCATCAATCAAAATTACTAACTTGGAAGAATATGGATTTGGATCTACATTCTTTTTTTCAGATCAGGATCTTTAAACACAGATTTTGGTAAACCAAAACAAGGTATAAACTTGAAATGAAATCTGAGAATGTTTTAAACTATATTAAAAAGGATTTTTTTAAAAAGTCAAAATATTAAATTTTAATATTCTTAAACATTTCTACTGGCATTTAGGTTTCAAAATAGAACATTTTTAAAGAGGGGAAAAAAGTCCCTCAGAAATGAACCAGAACAAACTGACAGGGCTCCTAAGGAAAGGAAGCTGAGAAACTTGTTATTAAAACTTTGGGACTGGGACTATTTCCATTTACTGCCACTGACAAAAGCCATCAGTCAACATCTTGTTCTAGCCCTTATTACAGCATGTGCAATACAGAACACAGTTTCTAAGAGGGAATTCATTATTAATCGTAAAAGTAAGTTGATTTCAAATCATAAGTGCCAGGAAAAGCAAGCTTGTTTTTAACAACTTTCCTCCTACAAAGATTACATGGTTGAGAGCTCAAATTTGCTAAACCCACACATTTGTAGGGAACTGTTACGTGTGACCTGGTATGCAAAATACTTTTGCAATATGAATAAAACATAACTTTTGCAGAAACAGCTACTTTTTCCTGGATTTTTATTCATTATGAAAACCAGAATATTTTTGGAAGAAAGGATTTGGACTATCAGAGCTTCTGAAAAGTAAGTTATCTTCTTCTACTGATAAAGAAAAGGAGGAAAGCAAACAACAGAAAACCCTGACAGTTAACGTGTAGTCAATGATCAGAAGTCCGAAGGCAATTATTTTTTCCTTCAAAGCAACACTACAAATTTTTAGGGTATGGTTATTTCCAGTACATTAATATCATTTAAAGTTAGGCTACCTTAGAGAGTAAAAGGACTTTAAAAGAGGTGTAAATTTACATTGTCAGAATCATGTAAAGTAATAATGGTATAAAAGACAATCAGGTTGTTTGATATTATAATCTGATGTTTCTAAATATCTGCTTTCAGAGTTTCCTTGCATCTGCCAAAGATTGAGATACCCTATTCAAATTGAAGAATCACACAAAAATTTAAATTTTGAAGATCATGATTCTTTTTTAATTTAACTTCTATACTGTATGCATTGTCAGACATGCATTTGTTTTCTGAGAATTGGAAGAGTAGCACTGATCAGTAATCATGAAGTTCCCATATCTGGAAGCTATAGCTGCTTCAGAGGAAATCTGAAAGGTCAGTCTGCCTAAAGGAGAGCATTAATATTACTGAGGACTACAGGGAGAAATCAGCATTGCAGCTAGAAGGGGCCCTGCAGCTGGTGAAGCCTGCTGACAAAGAGCCCCTTAAGGAGCATGATAAAGAGTCTCTATCCAGCCAGAGTCAGCACTTTGTGCCCAAAGGGAAAGCCAGCACTGTACCAGGAAAGGAACAAGTCTGAAGCTTGACCACAAGGACCCTGCAAAGTCAGCAAAAGCTTTGAGGAACGAAAGACCCTGGGAGAGGAATCCAGAATCCTGAGGGTCTGGGTCAGAGACAGGACTAGAGCTGGCCATGGGGTGAGGAGCCATAGCCCACAAAACAGAGACCTGCAGCCAAAATCCAACAGAGAAAACATCAAAGACCATCCTAAGGAAAAGGAAAACAAAAAGGAAGGGGGGGTGGGGGGGTGGGAACCCAGAAACTAAAAAGGAAACCCTTTGATTTAATTGTTTAGATGCAAGACATGTTCTAATCTTAGTTACATTAATTGTTCCAAAGGTTGAACTAAACTGCAAACCTGGTACTTTCATGATTTATTTTTCTGGCATAGAAAATAAATAAAAGAATAAAAGCTATACATTTTCTGAAGCACAATACCAGCTGTATAGATGAACATAACCATAAACACAGTCATAGCTACAACCTGTTACCACACAATTTGAAGTAGAAATATCTGTAAAAACAGAAGTAGAAGTATCTATAGAGGATATCTAACTGACAGAGATTCATTAAAAATCATAGTTACATGTGTCCTCATTAAGAGGAAACTGCAGGAGAACAAAGGATACAATGGGAAAAGTATTATATTTTAAAAGCATCTCCTTTATAGAAAAGCAGGGTAAAAAGTGGTCTGTCATCTTAATAGTGCTTTGCCTTCAATAAATATAGATGTTTTCACAGAAACCAATGAAAACATCCACTGTGTTCCCTCTGATCTATTGGCAATCAAAGGCGCTACCTAATTTGCAATATAATGATTTGGAGTATTGACGATCATTCACAAAGATTACTTGGGTTTAGTACATTTTGTCTAGTGAGAGCAGGCAACAGCTTTGCCACAGCAGATCATCATGCGGCATAAACTATCTTTGACATGTGCTAAGTAAGTTTAGTCAATACAAAAATAGATGGCAATAAAGTGTACACCCTTGTTACGACTTCCTTCTTCATTGTTACTATACCAGCGCCTGCAGACACCAATGGAGACTTGCATCCAGCATCTCAAGCCCTAACAAATTTTAAGAAATAAAGCCTAGTCGTCCCTTTAGAAATCTTCCAGATGTTAGATAAAGATGAGTAAGTAGAGAAACAAGAGTGAAAGGTAGGGAAACATCTCCTTGCTGGATCAATCCAGTGGCACCATGCACGGGGCAACAGAGCCCTGTGTGCCTGCTTGCACCCTGGCCTGTGTAGGCAGGGGGTGTGCAGCAGAGCAGGGCGCGGTGGGACGAGAACATGGCCGTGGCACAAGGCTGGGAGCAGAAACACCCACTGTAGAGCAGTGTGCCAGCCTGTTTGCATCTGCACAGCTCCACATGCTAGACAGAGCTCGCCTGCAAATTTGGACAGCCAGTTGTGTCCAGCACATGAGCTCGTGGAAGTGAAACAGAGACAAAAAAAGAGAGGCAAAGAACATCCTAACACATCCCATTCTTAATGAGCGTTAACAAGGAGTGTCCTTAGACAAATCCTTTCCTGTTAGCTTTGTGGTCAACGTGGTTAGGATGGTGTGGTTTCAGTAGTCTGAGTAGCAGCCAGTCTAATCACATTTCACAGAACTCCCCGGAGTACACATACATCAGGCAGAAACAATGGGACTGAAAAGTTAGAGGCTTAACGAAAAATGTAGCAGACTAGGGGGGTCTATAAAAAAGCAGATTGGAATGGAATTAAAATTAAGCAAATTCTAAGGTAGCTTTTAGCTGCTACTACTACATAACTACTATGTTAGTGCTAATGTTTGTTAAAAATATGTGTATCGGTTTTTCAGCTCACTTAATAAACACCAACTTTTCAGAAAACTGTAGCAATTATGAAGAACTGGAATGTATGCTATAGTAGTTATGATAAGGGTCTAACTAGTGTTTTCCAGAAATTACTATTTAGTATTTATCTTTAAACTTGTTTAACCATTTTTTTCCTTTCATGCCTTTCAACAGACAGATACCAGGTTAGTGGAGGGAGATAACACTGCCACACAATCTGCCGCACACAATTTCTGATGGTAGGGCTTTTTCTATTTGGGCAGAATAATTAAATAAACGCGTCCTTGCCAAGTAGTTATAGATATTAAACAGTAGATATGGTAAAGTGGTTTAACAGCTGTGACTGAAAATGGGGAGCTATCATATGTGTTACAGTAGGTAGCACTCATAATTATTGCAAAGTAGTCTCAACAGAAGAATCATTTGTAAATATTTACTACACTGTCACTCTTCTTCAGGAACCTCTTACATTGAAAACCAGAGATGTTTGAAACCTTCTTTTTGTGATTTGATTAAAGTCACTGAATAAACTCCCTTTGGTGAATCTAGTCATGAATTCACACTGTCACCCTTCTCATCAGCTCTTAGCAAAACAATACTTGATATTTCATATTTGCAGAGCTAACCAAATGGCTAACATACCTCAAGTAAACCCTTTAAATATTGCACAGCTAACAAGGAAACAGGTTAATTTCATTTTGCTTTTCTTATCACTGTAACTCTCCGCGCATGGAGCCATCTTCTGACAGAAAGAAGTGCCTTGGACCCAACAACTTCTCAAGTTACTGTTGTGGCTTGATGCTTAGCTGTTATACAAATATTGCATATTATATTCTCTGAATCTTATTGGGATGGCAATTTGCAAAAGAAATATTATTCCATGCATAGGTGGGGCTTAACTACCATGAAACTTGCAGAACATATTAAGGCAGCAATTAGAAACACCTCCTGAGAATGGGTAAGTTGTTGTGCCTTGTTTCTTCTGCTCTTAAGTAATAAGGGACTATACTAATCCTAGTTAACTATCGAGAAAAAAATCCAAATTCTCCCTTCACATTTAAGAAATATTTTTATTGCAGTAGTTCATCATCCCAGTGTTTCAAGTAAATCAGAAGTGGTTAGAGTCCAAACTTCTCTTTTACTAAATGCATTTCCACTCCCTTATATTATTGGAAATATCTGGGCAATATATATGTACCCATCATTTTGTCTGACACCTTCTTTTGAAGGATGAGTTACTATTTCCCTGCTTAACTTCTTAATCAGTCTGAGAAATATCAGATATATAATGATTCTAAAATATCATTTAAAGGAGCAACCTACTTTAAAATATAAGGAATTTGGTTCAGGTTATTGTGCTATCTTTTCCTGTCTTCTCAAGAAGAGAATGGAAGAGCTTTCTTCTGCCAACTGACAGAGAAGAAATCAACATTTTTAAAGTGTTTTGAAATAATGTAATGCTCAAGTGAGTATTCTCCAATGTCAGCATCATAATCAAACTAGAACTTACATTTAGATGAAGCTGGTTAGTCCACTGACCAATTACTTTGTATTCTGTACTCTTGTTGGTGATTTGATACTGAAAAATATCATAGCGTCCAGGAGCATCTCCATTTTCATTGAAAATAACAGGTGTTCCAGCACTCCCTGAAAAAAAGAATTAAAAAGCAATTAGGATAAATACCTTTAAAGCAATTTTCCAGAAATTGTATTTTGGAGGAAAAATACTAATTAGAGATTGAGCAGGTTCTTCGTAATGCAAGGCTGGTATGGTAATAAATCCAAAAACCTCACAAAGAGAAAATGTGTGTTATTATCGTCATCACAAAACCTAACCTATCTATGGTTAATTAAAACAATTTTAAAAGATAATCTTTTGCAATACTTTTGGTTGGTTGGTTGGTTTGTGTGTGTGTGTATTAAAGAACATTAGGAAATTCTGTGATAAAACAGAAGTGGAGAAACTCCTTTTGACTTGCAGAAGACACAATTTCACTTTAAGATGAGAATACAGTGCAGTAGGCACAACATAGCAATCTTGTAATGAGCTTCATAAAGAATTTCCCTGTTAAGCATGAAAAGAAAATGAACATCATCAACTTAGGAGCCAATGCTCATAAAAGACCTTGAGATGCAAGTGTCTAAATCTGGTCACAGTTAATGTGATCAGTTCCTAGCACTGACCACCTGTGTAAAAGTGTTTTATCAAAATAAATTAAGGATAGCAGCTGTGCTTGTTGCTCTCTCCTCTGTACATGACACTGCCTGACAGAAAGGGCCATTGCTGAAGCTGTCAAAAGTTATAAATCAACACTCTGTTCTTACTTCGATCAACAAAATGTTCAAAGATTGAAAACTACATGTCTACCTTGGCAACCAGGCCAGCCAAATTAGAACACATTTTGATTAATTCCTTCAAGGTGACATCAAGGATCTGCACTCTTACAGAGACTTTTCAAAACTTTACAAAGAATGTAATTTTCACCCATCCCCCAATTTCATAAGTATAGGTGAATCATATTTATAGTTGAGGTCCATTGAAGATAAATTCAAGTATGTTAAAGTTCTATTTCAGTGACTGGGGAATGAAATCTATCTTTACTGGGGAAAAAAACAAACCACCACAAAATCCACCCCCAATATTTTCATGTTTCTCCATATGAACAACCAAGAAAAGGAGAATATCCAGTTCATAGTAACTTCCTACAGTATAAGACTTGTTAATGTAGAACCTAGAGGCACTAAGTCCACTGTGAGTGGTTTCCAGAGAATGCCAAAAAAAGCTTGAAATTCTGGGTACATGTCCTGGTTTTGGCTGGGATAGAGTTAATTTTCTTCCTAGTAGCTGGCATAGTGCTGTGTTTTGGATTTAGTAGGAGAAAAATGCTGATAACACGCTGATGTTTTAGTTGTTGCTGAGTACTGCTTATGCTAGTCAAGGACTTTTCAGCTTCCCATGCTCTGCCAGGCACACAAGAAACTGGGAGGGGGCACAGCCAGAAGAGTTGATCCAAACTGACCGAAGGGCTATTCCATACCATATGACATCATGCTCAGTATAGAAACTGGGGGTGGTTGGCCGGGGAGCAGCGATCACTGCTCGGGAACTGTCTGGGTATCAGTCCGCAGGTGGTGAGCAATTGCATCGGGCATCACTTGCTTTGTATATCATTATTATTATCATCATCATTATATAGTTATTATTATCATTACTGTTTTACTTTATTTCAATAATTAAACTGGTCTTATCTCAACCCAGGAGTGTTTCTCACTCTTGCTCCTCCGATTCTCTCCCCCATCCCATCGGGGTAGGGGAGTGAGCGAGCGGCTGCGTGGTGCTTAGTTGCTGGCTGGGGCTAAACCACGACAGTAGATATCAAGCAGAAGGTAGCCAGTAGAAGCGGGGACACCTATCTACATACCCCAGAATTTCAGCATAAATACTTCTTCTTGTATGTCTGTCTGTCTCCCATGAAGTATTTTGTTCTCTTGTTTTGCATAGCAGCTTTCATACAAAACTGAAATCCAGTAAAATAAACAGTGCTTTGAGAGTGACAAGTGGCACATTAACTACTATGCCAATTTCACAGTTCTGCCAGCAAAACTCTGGCTGCAAAAATTAGATGTGAGCAACCATGGAGGAGGAGTATCAAAAAATTTTGTGTGATAAAGACTTAAGACCCCAGAAGACACAACAGACTCAACATAAAATTTTGGAAAGCTCTTTGTGCTTTGCTCCCAACGCCTTTGACAGAATGGAGGGCAAGAAAAATGCCAGTCTACAGTCTTCCAAGCAATGAAATTGTTCTTCACTGCTCAAATAACAGGTTGATCCAATAAATTTCTTCCACCCAATAAACACATGCCTGTTGTTGGTATGGAGGTATGGAGGTAACCTTCAAAATATTACTCTCAAGTAATGACAGAATTCATCTTTCCACTCCGCAGCATTTAAAGAGCTCATGGAAAGAACAGATATATTTTACCAGCAGATACAAAATGTCCTTTGTATCCCTTAAGACCAATGGGAACTTCAGATACTCTTATGCTCAGAAATAACAGTGTGAGCTTGTAATCTATTGCTGGTTTTAGAAATATCACGTACAAAGAGACAGACTATAGTACAGGCCAGAACCATCTTTCTCTTTGATATAGTGGTGTTCTCAGCTAGAGCGTAACAGCATCTCACGCTGTGCACCTCAGTTGACAGGGATGCAACGTCCTGCTAAATTCACCTGCCGCTCCAACTGAGTCCAACAAGATCTTTCTCATACAGCAGAAGTTAAAACAACCTTTCCCCAGTTAATAAAGCTAAGGTTGTTAAAACCTGGAATAAGCCACAGAAGATTCATTCCCCCAAGCACTGGGAAGAACATACTGTCCCTCTGTTGAATAACAGATTTTTAGGAAGTACAATAACAGTAACAGTGCCTGCTGTAAATTTGATAATGTACTAGCAATGTTGCCATAACTAGTAGATACTGTAGCAGTACCAGACCATTATTTTCATCTATGTCTTATGATTTATATACATCTTTTAGTTAATTGTTGTTTTGTGGAATGAAACATTTAATGGACCTAAAACAAGGAGGTATGCATGGCTGGATTGTGCTAATAAACCATTAGCTACATAACCAGGAAAGCACAGCTTAAAGGCATTTGAAGAAAAACTGGGGATTTTAGCAAGGGTTCCCAAAATTATGAATGCAAGATGGTAGCAGAAGCCTTGAAAGTGTAAGGACAGAATGAAACTAGAAGCCTCAAGGATATAAACAAATCACCAAAGGTTAATTAGCATTCTTAAAAGAATGTTGAACTGATCTGAAAAAAAATATGCCCTGGTGGATGATCCAGGTGAACAGTTTGTCTGAGAATGGATAGGTCACAAAATGAAAAGTTTTTCTACGAAAATATACGTTGCTTGATAGTCCATCAAATTAAAGTGAATACTTCTGTGGAAAAACTGATTAACACTGTACAGAGAACAGATAATTAAACCATGGGGAGAAACATTGTACCTGACCATAACTAAGAGCATGTCTAGATTTGGTATATAACACTGTAACAAATGCCATTGAGTTGTACAAATGCCTCTTTTTTTTGACAACCAGATAAGCAGAATTGAGCACTCTTGACATCCTGTACTGTACTGCCACGTATGCTTATATTGTACTGTTACAATTACAGGGAATTGTATCTTAGTACTAGTTTAAGACATTGAGTGTTCAATTGCTTCATGTAATGGTCATTGAGGACTGGCTGCTAAACCTAAATGCAACACTCTGGAGAGAAAGTAATACAGAATACTTCACTGACCTGAGGTAGTGAGCCCAGGTTATACAAATTCCAGTTTATATAAAAAGATTTTGGGAAACCACACTGAATAGTTCTTGGATAGGATATTTGTCTTAGGGAATGAACTTGGATATCTTCATCCAGGAACCACATTTATTGGGCACCATCATAGGAATGTTACTTTTGCTTAGGAAAAATGTCCCTGTAATGCTAGTGTAGACCACCTCTGAGAATACAAGTAGCCACATTTTTTTAAATAATTTCACTAATTTCATAATCTTTTTTTTTTTCATAATTTGTCAGTAATCATTTAACAAGGTAGTTAAAGAGCAGTGAGGAAACTGTGCCTCTGGGCCTTTTCACATTTTATTCTCTGTGTTGTTATGTTGCCATGCATAATTTTAACCCATGATTGACTTGGGTACTTGTATTCAGTCTGTCACCATCTTAACTAAAATTTCAATATATTCTGGATGCCTAAACCAGAAGTACATAGTAGAATTTCAAGAATATATAATAAGCTTGGCTAACTATGGAAAATCACATGTGAACCTTCATCTTTGTCATCTTTCCTTTGTGCCAATTCTTTTATTTTTTAATATATAAACATAGTTACTAACTTATTTTGAGATCTGTTTCTGAAGTCTCTTTGCAGAGGAATTCCAGAATACTTTTAGAAAGTCTTTTTTTTGTTTGTTTGGTTTTGGTGTATAACTGTAGACTGGTAAGTGGAAGGAAATTTTCAAATTTCACAATAAAGCATTGTTCAAAAGGTTTACAGACTTTTTTTGAAATCACACTCTTTTGCAGTGAAAAGGTAAAATAAAAGAGGAAAATGTAGCTCCCTTAATGTCCTCAGTCCATAAAGGAAAGACCAGCAGTTCAGTCTCACGGTTAGCATAGAGTGAACGTGTTCATTTCCCTTTATAGGAACTACTTAAGCAAAAGGGACAAAAGAGATGAGATAAGATACAGTGGGAAACATGTGGAGGACAAAGCTCCATCCATTCTTCTACTTCTTTGAAGACATCACAGCACAAAGTGATTACACTGTCCTGACAGCAGAGCTGTGGCTAAGTCCAATGATGTGGTTCAAAATACAGACAAAGAAATACTGGGTTGTGCACCTGAACTGGTGTCCTGATTTTTTCAAGTCATAAACATAAGCAGTTGTCTACTACAGAACATCTTTTTAACAGCCATATATACTGCAAGTATGGTGTGATCACCTAAAAGCTTCGGAGAGTGCTGTATTGCATACCAAAGCCCTTTGAGTTTTTGAAACACTGAATGGCTGACAAATAGATCCTGCTTCAAAATGACTCCAAAATCAGACTAAATAAATAATCTTCTATAAACCCTATAGAAGGTTGCTTTGTAGAATAGTTCTGTTACCATTCAGTTGAAGACAATCCATATCCATGGCATAAAAGTATAACTTACATTTTATTAAGCCCAAGGACACATTTACTTATTGTAGATATAAAGTAATAATCTGGTACTGAAAGAAATTCTCCCTCCTCCTTCCCAGTTTACAGCCAGCAGCATTAAACAACTCTGGGTGTTAAACTAGCACATTAGCTAAACATTACTGAAGCAATGTGTCTGTGACCTCAGCTGTTTATGAGGCTTTCAAAATGCAGCTTAAACTAGCCAAAAATGTTATTTAGAGGAGAAAAAAAAAAAATGTATGAGGTTTCTAATTCAGAATCAAGGATGTAATGGATCCTTTTAAATTTTTAATACCTTACACTGATGTCAAGGAGGACTCTTTCTGATAAACAACTGTTTTATGACAGGTCCTTTGTGCACTGAACTTGAAAATTCACATTCTTCTGAAGAAATCCTTAAACATGTACCTTGACATTCTCAAGATGCTGCTTAGCAACTACTTTATCCTGCACGTGCCTACTTTATCAAGTTACATTTCACATAAGTCTAAAACATCCCCACTCCTAGTGCAAACTGTGATCTCAGTTCCCTGTGAGATTACAGAGTACACTTGCCGGGTGCCTTCCAGTCAAGGTGTTCTCTTTACATGTCAGGTAGTGGAAAAGAAGTGGAATGACTGCAAAAACCACAAGTTCACATGTAGTAGTGGCCAACTGCATATTAAAGTGATTAATCCGTAACAGATCCTAAATTAAGAATAGTGGTGAGCATTATTTTAAAAATAAATAAAGAAATCTGTTAAATTAAATCAACAGCCTTGGCTTTTTCTTATATGAAACCTTTAATAAGACTTGACTTATTATGAGGCACTGCTACTTCAGTGCCTTGACAAAAGTGTAGAAAAGTGGTTGTGCTGATGAGTCTCACAACCGTCATTTACAGAATATTCCAACTCTAGTGGAGCTGATTCCATTACAAAGCTTGATACCAGATATAAATCTGGTATTTCACCAGATTTCAGTGGCTTGATACTAATTTCGTTTCTTTAATCTGAAATGAAAATTACTTAATCTAAGTCTTCATCCTTTGAGCTGCTCCACATAGGCTGTTTTCTCTGTTATGAATCCTTATGCAGTCAGCATGGATTCAAGGGTATGTTTAGGTAAATGGAAGTAAGCAGTTTATTGTACACTATAATAAAGTTAACTGTTGTGTATCAAAAATTTCAGAATGCACCATCTGCTAGAATTTGGCGTTACTGGAAGATTCCTGAGATTTATAGGCTCAACCCTTATTTCATTAATTTATACAATTAGTTTCAAGTGCTACAGTTAGGAGTTCAGATATTTTTTAATTAGCATTTCATTTTAATTAGCTGTTAAAAGGAAAAAGTATTACAGAGTTGTACATGAATTAAATTGTTCTCAGTAAAGTAGGAAGAGAGAGTAACCATTTGAACTTTCAGTACTGAGACTTCCCAGAGAAGAATGCATCTGTAAAATTAAACAAGAAATTTGTCACTGATAAGTATTTCAATGACACAAATTAAATAGAAGGTTGAAATGTAATCAATGGAAAGAGTAAATACAAGCCGTTAAAACATTTAATACTTGAAAAAAATATACCAGAAAATTATAAACAATTAATCAGAACTAACAAAAGTTAATTTGTGAATGTTAGGCTAGCAGACAGAGGAGGAATACACACTGTATCAAACTATGTAAGGTTTGTGATAAATGAAGCCATTATCTGCTCAATCTCCATACAGCAGACATTTTCAAACAATGAGCAATGTGGTTACTAAAATAACAAATTATGATTGTCTGATACCTATTCAAAATCTGAAAAGACTTCTCTTTATGCTTACCCTAAATGTCTCAGTTCAAGATCGGGACAATAAAACAGGATTGCATCCAGTTGCTGTACACATATGCGCTTACTGACGTTTTAAATATCCTAAGGTGCTGGAGACATCCACAGAGATATGCAGAATATGCATATGACAGAGAACCTGTGCCTCTCCGAGGCAGCAGCTGGAGGCCAGATGGATACCCTCAGGTATCTGAAATGGCATTCAATGCCCATGTTTAGGCAATTTATCTTACTTACCACAGGGCAGATTCTGGCTGTTCATGTATGAATGCACAAAATAGAACCAAAGGGAAACAGTGTGCTGCAGAAAATGAATTATATACAGATTTAGGGCATATGTGATATAAATTATGGTGGTACCCACTACACGGCTCATAAGGTAAAGAATTTGGTATTAAAATAAACTGATATAAATCAATTCCAGGTCAGGCAGTACAATTTTATATTATTGAAGCTGATGGACAAGAACTTTAGTTGTGATTCTGCAGAGATGGGTATAATTTATTTGATGTCTTGGTCCTTAGCACAGTGAATGATTAGAAATGTGTATTTCTGTGAAAGGAACAGCTCATTCCCTGCATGAGAACATCAGTCAGGGCTGGTATCATGAGCACATGGTATTTAAAACAGCAAATAACAACAAGTAGTACTTTTTTTCCTTCCAGAATATATTAAAACTTCTTGACACAGCAAGCACAGAGACATGATGTCTCATAAAACTTACCCTAAAATGAATAAAATTTGAAGATGAGACTGAGCTGTTGCAGCCAACAGCATAGGTATATTATAAAGCATTTGTCCCATCATTCATTAGTATGTCTATCAGTGGTTATTAAAAGCAGTGATCTAGATGCAACTCTGGTTTGTGCAGTCCTTCAGCTACTAATTGCAAGAAGAATATACAGGACAAAAATTCTTCTACCTTTTCTTTGTTCCCTACATTCTCTCCCCAAGCATCTGCTATTGACCACTCTCAGCAAACATACTACACTGGTGAAATTTTTGTTCATATCTTCTAACAAGTAATACTCACTCCAGAATGTAAAAGGACAGAACCCTAGCTCCTCTTCTTAAGGCACCTTGAGTCTATTAACAGATGATAAGTATATCTATAATACAACCGTATCATGGATTAAAATTCATATTTTACCAGATAAAGAATTAAAATTGCTAGCCACCAATCCTGCTATGGTGACACAGTATTGTGAAGGCAGTTTTACATTTCCCAGCCTGGGCTGATCCTTTTCTCTGCACAGCGAGGCTATGCCTCTCCTTTCACCTCTCCTCCCAGAGGTGGGGCAATGCTATGTGACTGACTTTCCCTACTCCAGGGCTGACTGAGGGGGTAGGAGATGTAGATGAGCTTCTTCACCCATAGGTGCTAAAGCGAGGCAGGCATTAGCACTGTGGCATTGGCAGTAACATCCATTGGTCCTAGGAAAGAAATGTGAAGAAGGACGTTCTGATAGGATAGGAATGAGTGAGGAACAGAAAATGAGCCCCTTTGGACTCCCCTGCCACCTTAGCTTTGTTCTTTCCACCTCTGGAAAAGGGACAGCCCTCTCCACACACCACCACCACAGTAGATAGGGGAATTTGGGAGGAAGAGAAGAGAGAGTGGAAGAGTTTACCGTTCCCTACATGTAGCCAAAAAGCTCAGTGCTATCAGCATACTTGCAAGAATCCAGACTATTTTTATTCTGTATTCAGAAAATCCAGAGAGACAGATTTAATCTTAAAATCTATGGCATACATTGTGTGCCAGAGAAGATTGGTTCAG